GAGTAGTAAATAATCCTTAGAAATAACATAAGTAAGCATATGTCAAATTCTGACAAAGTACTGAATTTCGTGTGCTTATTAAGTCTTTAGAACTATCACTAAATACAGTGATAGCAGCAACCATGGAAACAAGCACAGGAAGATAAATATGTTGATTTCCTTCTCAAAAGTAGAAATGAGAAGACTATGAGCACGAGTTTTAAATAATGTGGCCCAAGAAAACAACTGCACCACTGGTTGGTCCTATTATGGAACATCAAGGTAATGATTACTTCTCATGATGAATTAATCAAGGTAGGGAAATGTAGAGGCCCTGCCCTAGAATGAGCTGACCTGAATATTTGGAGACTAGACTGGCTTAAAGATAAACTTGGAAAAACAAGGAAGGGACTTCTATAGGAGAGGGGTGTATTCAACATAAACCTGGCAAGAATATATAAGATATGCAGATGCTCCTGACTCTTTGTGACTATTCATCACTTCAAACATTTGGTGAAGCAAAAATAATGTGCATAAGGATCACTTTAAATGCACGGATTAGCTAATAATAAGTATATAGGTACTAAATATTTTGAACCATTACAAAGATGGCCAAATGGGAATTGGCTACTATTGTTCAAGACTACACTGGAGAGGAAGGATGTTCACCTTGCTTTTTTTCTCTTTCTACTTCAAGGATTGACTGCCTAGCATAGATTTATATTAGCAAGCACACATTACCTGTTTAACTGAAATAATTCTGACTTTCAGGCTTCTAATGGCAGCTGTTCAGCCTAGCCTCTTTTTTCTAACATCTAATCAGTTACTATGCTCTATCTATTCTTGTTCTGCAAGATGTCTCTGATCAGTTATCTTGCTAACCTCTCACTTTTCCTCCAAAATTCTCACTCTCTTTCTATGAATACAACAGTCTCCTGATATTCCCACCTTCAATATTTCACCTATTCCAATCTATCCCCGGGAATGCCACTGTCATTTTTCAAAGCATAAATATGATTCCACTTAATGTTTACATTTACAAAATAAATTTACAGAATAGCTTACATTAACAAAATAAAATTGTAGTCATAAACTTGCTTTAAAAACCTATACAATTCATGTGATTTCACAAAATATTCCCACTCTTACAACACAGACTCATCCCAGTGATACCAGACCTCTACTTTCCAAAGGGAGTACAGTTTTGCTTATACTGTCTCCACCCATTTGAATTGTTTCTTTCACTACTATGGAAATATTATCACTCTAAAATACCCTGATCAAATCCAACCTTCTTCACAATGCCTTATCAGATTTATCCCAAAACCACCATGGCTATCACTGTACCCCTTCTTAAATGATCTTGTGTCATTTACTATAACAATTTCTCAAATTCCTGTCTTTCTCACCTAAATTAAATGAATGAGGGAAGAATATGATTCAGAAATGTATCTTCAGGCATTTCACATTATTGCTCTATAATGTGTTGTCTGTACTCAGTAAGAATTCCAAACACAGCAACAACAAAAACCTAACAAAACAGAATGTCAATGAAATGCCTCATTAACCACTTGCAAGAATAAAATTTGTCTCTTCCTATCCCTCTAAATATTCCTATATATGATCTCCTATGTATTTCTGTATCATCCTATCGGTGATTATAAAGATGCAGAATGACAACTTCAATACCTTTGAATGAAAAGATCAGATTTAGGGAGGTGTTTTTTAAAAATCACATTATAGAAAGGCTGGGACTATGGTTATAACTACCTAAACCCCCAGGATTTTTATATACATGATAATAATTAAGAATTTAATGGGAAAATAAAGAGAACTACTATTTATTAAACACATTCCATATATGAAAGTCAACTTGCTAAGTGTATTAAACGCAGTACTGAATTTCCTTTACATATAAACTTTTGAAAATATCTCTTCTTCCCGTTTATAAAGGTAACATGTAATATCATATATCTATTTAGGGGCTGGAATACAGATTCATCTGCTTTCAATGCTCATGTTCTTTCCTTTATTACTACAGAGCACCATAAAAATTAATTAAAACTTGCAAGTTTTCTCAATCTACCCTGGTTAAAATTTTAATGACTATAGCTTTAAGCTCAAACTGCTTTCATCAATGAATTAAATTACTCCCCAACTAACGCCCTTAAACAAAAACATATTGATAATATAAAAGTACCAGAATTCTAGTACAATATTTATTATATAATATGCAATTTCAAAACTCTATAATCAATTCTTTCATAAAGAAGCAAATATTCACACACCAAAAAATAAACAAACCAAAAAACCCAGAAACTATACAAACTGTAATGTTCATGGAACTAATTCATGAAGAATTCATGGTACTAAAACAAGCTGTTCTTTATGACCCTTGCCCAGGAACAACCAATACCATCTCAAGTAACACCTCTTCCCTGATCCTGACAGAATCCAGGCAAGAGCTAAAATTGCAGCTGCCTGAGGGGTGATGCCCTTTGAAGTTATTATTCCCAGCAGACCTAATTGAGACAGTCCCTGCAAGGGCACTCACAACCAGAGCGTCTTGCTTTCCTTATGTCCCTGTTTCTAAGAATCTTTCCCCAGGAGCCAATGGAGCCCATTTTTTCCCTTCTGCAGGCCCATTTTCTACTTACTATTCAATGGAAACAAACTAATTTTTGATTGAAACCTCGACACATTTTTCCATAGGAAAAACTTTCCAACAATAATTAAGCTCTTCATCTGTATAGCTTGCTATAGTGCATCGATCGAAAACTGTTACTATCCATGGTTTTCTTGTGGGCAAACATGTTCAGATTCAGAAACAATCAATTTGAACACTGCTGAAAGATAATTATAAAGTTGTCAACTGCTCACATAAGTAAGAAAGGTAAACATTGAAAAAAACTTGAAATATATGAGTGGCTATAATTTAATAATTCTTATTTACTCTTACCAGTGATAAGCACAGAGAAATTATTTCTTTTGACATCAATATTAACAAATTTATACTTGCATTTTTAAAGGATTCCACCACATTTTATATATCCCATTATATATAATAACATATACATAACACAATAAAAATACCTTTATTCTAAAAACTATCACAGTTGAGAAATGTAAAGTTCAAACTTAAAAACCAGAATTTCCAAAGTCAATATCAAAAGGTGTAATGAAAATAAATATAAACTCTATAAATTAAAACTGCTTTTTTTTATGAACATCAGCACAAGAAACAAAAACAAAATGGGTCTGCCAACATGTAGCACTAAAATTTCACCCCAAATATTTTAATAGACTTATTTGCTGGGTGAGATCTAACCAATCAAAATGGTTTTAGACAAAGAAGCAGAAATAATACCTTCACCACATTACCTTCACCTTTTGTTTTTACTTCATATGTTTTACCAATTTCCACTGGAGTATTTGTCAAAATTGCAGAGGTAGAAACCTATTGTTAAATATCTACAATTCCTAAAACATACTGCAAATTTAAAAAAAAATGTGCGTGCTAATTACAATTTAGAAGACCGTACATTCAAAGTTAAGCACACCTAGACATAAAATAGTAGATATTTGAAAGATCCCTACTTCCCATATAAATACTTGAGATTCACAATGAAACAAAATCTCCCCACCCCCATAGTCTAGTTAGATATTTTATCTATGAAGCTACAATTTCCACATTTTAAGAAAATTTAAAATTTTTCATTCATCTCACTTTTAATCAATTCTTAAGAGATGTGGAATATTAAAACACTTTGGAATCACTTAGTTTAAAAATATTTGTCTGTATAAAGATTTCCATTCCACAGTACTTCATTCAATTTATTTCCAAAAAATCTCTTGTTGCAAGTTATTCTAACATGTAATGTAATCTAACTCTAGCTTAAATTAATATAATGGAAAGGGAAAAGGGACAAGTAACCATACAATAATCCAAGGCATGTTTTTCTTGAGCTGGAACAATATTTGAAGACAAAGGCTCACCCTGGTGATTTCGAGGATTCTGACTGAGTCTTACCTCCAAACATTCTGTTGTGAATCAAACTGGTATTCAACAACTATTTTAGGAGGTGTATGGTGGCCTCTACTGGAATACTATGCTTATGATTAAGCGACTAGGAAAGGATCCAACTTTCTATCCCAATAGGTAGGTTTTTATGTTTAAATGTGGCTCGCGTTTTGTAACAAAACAACAAAATACCTGTGCACATCTAAGTTCTCATGGCCCAAGTGCAAAACACAGTCAAGTCAGTACAGTTTCAGAAGAAAGAACGGCGGGAAAAGGGGAGAACGGAAGTATTTTGGTTCAACTTGGCTCAGCTTTCCCCAAATCGGTCTTATAAGGTCTGGGAATCACTTTGCCTCTGGTACCCACCAACGGTTCAGGTATGCAGGCTGGAAAAGGGTTCAGGGTTGAAGGAAAAAAGGCACGAGAAGGGGGAACTGCGAACAGGCAGCAACAGTTCACCTGCACATACTGACTGCCAGTTCTTCAATTAAGGTAAAAGAAAATAGGAGGCTGCAAAGAAATAAGAATGCTGTTACCAAGAAACACTTGTCCCTTAGGATTAAAGTCCCTAGAGTTGGTCACCTTGGTGTGTTTTTGTTTCCCTGAGTTCATAAAACACTGAAGTTAAACCATAAGCTCTGGTCCCCAACTCCAATTCTCAGAGAGCAGAGGCAGCATGTTGTAAGAAGAACGCACGGAGTCGTGCAAGGCACCGCGCGTGTCCCCCAGTCCCGCTTCGGGTTGGAAGTGAAGAAACTTAGAACAAACTCTAGCGTGGCCGCACCTCCGGAGCCCGGAGCTCGGGAGGTCAAGCCGCAGCTAGGAATCGGGAGCTCTAGCCCACTGCCCGGTCCCCTTTCCCGCCCTCCTTGCTGCCAGAGGTCCGGGCCCCCGGGAAGGGGGTGGGGGCGCTCGCCTGGCACCCCGCTCTCCCGCCTGGCCAGGCTCTCCCGGGACACGGGGCTACAGACTTGCAGCCGGTCCCGCCCACCACACTCACCTCGCCGCCACCGCACGCCCCACCGCTGCTGCCAAACACCTCCATTTCTTGGTCGTCCCAGGGATCCTCCGGAGCAGCGAATGGTAGCATCGCCTCTTCAGGAGCACTCGAACAGGAGCTGCCCGTCTCCAGCACCAGCACACATCCCGCCTGCTGAGCGTCCTCGCTGCCGCCTCGGAAGAGACTCCGAGCCCCGTATTCAGTGACCGCTGACCTCGTCACCGGCGGATATCTCAGGAGCTGGGAGAGCGGGGTGTCCGCCGACCGCTGCGTCCAAAGAGAAGACTACTCAGTACTGCCTCCCCTCGAGCAGCAGCCGCTGTACACCTCTTGCTGCCCGCCCCGCAAAGCTCCGCAGGGCTCCCCCCCCCCCGCTTCCCCCCCCCCCCCCGCGCTCCCGGGCCCCCTCCCGGCTCCCTACGCCGCCAATATGGCGGCAGCCGCCGTGGTACCTGTACGGCAGTACGGCGCTTGGAACCCCCGTGGCGGCAGCAGCGCGGCGGCGTCACAGGCGCGTCAATGGAGGTTCCCCAGCCCGGGAGTGCAGTGGGGTGGGGAGAGGGGGGGAGGGGAGGAGGGACGGGGTGGTTGCGAGGAACGCGTGCTGGGGGCGGGAAGAAGAGGAGGGGGCGTGCTGGGCGGGGGAGGCGGGCAAACAGTAGTAAAGCCCACAGCTTTAGCCTGCTAAACCTGCCCACTCCACAGAGCATGCGCGATGCTCCCTACACATGCTCAGCAGGCCTTCCTAAAACTACCTAACTGCCCGCCTGGCAGGAGGATTCCCAAAGAGGATGCCGGCAACTCTGGGGCTCTGCAGAAAGCTTCAGGAGCCCAGGCTCTGCCCGAGGGCCGGCTTGCAGGACCCAACAAAACTCAGGTGTAGTATACACCAAGCCACGCCCATTTCATTACCTAGTAACCAATACTACCAGGGCGGGGATTTTAGACTATAATATAAGCCACCTAGAAGCTAGAGGTAGCAGATCATACATTTAGAAGAAATCAGTATACCTGTGCTCCCCAGTCTCCCACTCCAGTCAATTTGTCTCACTTAAGATGTTCCTGAGAGTCGCCTTCACAGTGCTAATGAACTCACAACGGTTCAATCTCTTGTGTGTCCCAACACCACAAGAACACACAATGCATATACACACAACTCTAAGCAGACTCTAACCATGGTAACAAAGGCAGGGTGTCTAATGCTAACCCCTACCCACCCCTGGGAATGTATAACACACACACATTACACACACACACACACACACACACACACACACACGTAGTGACAATGTTTCAGTCTTCCTCACATGTGCTTTAACCCTTTGCTATTCTTGGCTCTAGTAATGTAACAGATGAATTAAGTTCCAGCTTACACACAAAGTGGATGATGAAAACCCTCAGTAAAACATTTTCATACTTAAAGTTAAAAAAACCAGTTATTCCACTTTTTGACACCTACAGACTTAAAAGCATTTGCTATAGCAACAAAAACTCAGTCCCTTGGAGAGGTTTCTAATACACTACTTAAAACACACCACCTCCTTGCCCTTTCTACATCTAGAGCTGTTGTGATGTGCCTTCCATTTATTTTACCATCTGCTGTGGAGTGCTAAGAAACCAAAGAGGCCACAGAGGTTGGCAGTGAATTCAAATAAGAATTGCTAATAATGCCCTCTGACTATGCTTAAAATCCAAAGCTGTAGGAATACTGCCTTGCAAAAGTGATACCTTTGAAAATGAGAGCATGAGGCTATAAGACTTGAAAATGTGTGTTTGTATATATGTGTGCTAGTGTGTGTGTCCATAGACTCATGTGAGTAGACTTATGTTTGACAAAAATGAATGATAGTATTCTTAATGAAGTCCAATTTCATTGAGCTCTGAGTCTCATTTTCCTATTGCTTACAAGCTCAATTCTACAACTCTCCTCCCTCTTTTCCGCCTCACTTATTTTTCTCCTTCTACTGAATTATTCCCATCAGCAAAAACATACTCTCTAATTTCTACTTACTATCATTTGATGGATTGTATACCTCCCAATTCTTTTAAATATTTTCTGTACTTGACCTCCAAAATAAAACTGTGCATATTTTCTTCCTACATCACGGATGTCTTGTCTGTTTTGCTGTTCTTCATCTTTATAAATGTCCAATCTTTGAAGCTTCAGTGCTCAGCTCCTGACTTTTGTCTTTCCCACTTTTCTAGTTCTTTACTTATCCCATGAAGATGCATGGTTTAAATCCCATATGTATGATCTCTAGTCATAGAATTTCTTGAAGTCAAGAGTTGTACATTCACAGCCTGTCCAATATATCTGCTTAGATATCTAATATTTTATTCAAATTCAGTTTATTCAAAACAACTCTTAATTTCAGTCCAACCAACCAACTCTTAATTTCAGTCCAACCAACCTGGCCCTCCATTATTCCACAAGTTTGCAGTTCATAACTCACTTTACCATATTTAATTTCTACCACCAAATAAAAAAATAAAATTTAACATCCCTATGTGTTTCTTCATTCAGCATCCTCTTTAACACATAGCTATTTGAATGCCTCCTAGATAGATAGATAGATAGATAGATAGATAGATAGATAGATAATAGATATCTCCCATAAATATGTACTCCCCTCAACTCAGTGGTTTTACAAGTCTCCATTTCTCATAAACTTCAATGAGATAAGAAGTGTTTAGTCATTCTTAAATATTTATTTAATATTAGCAGAACAGTGGTGACACATACCTTTAATCCCAATACTCAGGAGGCAGAGGCAGGCAGATCTCTGTGAGTTAGAGGACAGAGCCTGGTCTACAAGAGCTAGTTCCAGAACAGGCTCCAAAGCTACAAAGAAACCCTGTCTTGAAAAACAAAACAAAACAAATGTATTTACTGTTGCTCAGATCCCTTGGAATTGCTTCAGATCAACTTTTCTATTGTTTTCTTGAATTGAGCATATACCTCCTTAACTAATCTTTCAAAATGTACATTTATGGCCTCTCTTCCATCCCAATCTAGTGATCAAAGTTCTTGAAAGTTCTTGAAAGATTCTCCATCTTATCCAAACCTCTCAGTTCTGAATGTAAATACTTTGTCATCTACTTCTTTTTTCCACCATCTTAAACTTCCCTATTCATGGTCAAAAACTGTAGTAAAATCTATGCACTCTTTCCTTTCTCAGACATCCTTTTATCATTTATTATTTTCTTTTCTCTTTTAAATTTTATTTTATTTAATTACTTTTTTATTATTCTTTGGAAAAGTCTTAGGATCACTCTTTATTCTAGACTATCTTAAATTTAGTATAACACAGGCTGTCCTCTCATTTACAATGATCCTTCTGCCTTTGCTTCCAAATTCTGGGATAATGAGCCATACCTCCTGCAATTAAGTCTTATAAACATCCAATACTAACAACTCCCATTTATTAAAAGTTATTATTCTACAGGTATATTATTTTCACAAATTTATTTAGCATTTATAACAATTTGTTAACTCGGGAGGCTGAGGGAGGGGTACTACTTCAGTTTAAGACCAGCAAGAGCCAGGACAGCAAAGGCTACATAACAAAACCTGGTCTTAAACAAGCAAATAAAATTTCTATTTTCTGTATTTTTGACAAGGAATCAGAGCCTTGAAAAAAATCAACAATTTTCTCATATGATATCATGCCTTTTAAAAATGGGAAACCTAATATTAAAACATGTCTGATTGAAGCATAATCTAGCCCACTCTGATGCTCCTGAATCATCACTGCTATTAAGTTCCTCTGTCCAGAAGTCTCCTGCAGAAGAGTTAGCCACACTTCTTTTATATTTTCCATATATTTAATTACTCCTTAATCTTTCTTTTGAACTTTTTGGCACAGTAAATTAATATATTAAGATTTATGTTCATGACACATAAATGGTATCCAATAAATATGATGGATGAAAAACACTTCTAGACTCTAACTATACATTGTGTAAAAGCTGTGGGCTGATAGAAAACTGATCAAGACTCAACTCTGCAAAGCTTAATAGTTATTTGATCTGTGCTGACCAAGGCAGAGATACGTTGTATGGTTTTAATTAATACTAGGCAGGTACCATGAAACCTCAATTTTATTAGCGCAAAAAGTACTTGAAATTTTGGTGAAAATGTAAAGACATTTTATTTAAGCATAAAAAGCAAGGATCAGTGAAGACTGAGCTTTTCAGTCTTCTGCAAAGTATATGGAAGGGGGTTACTTTCTATTCCGTCTTCAGGAAGTTTTAATTCTGAAATTGTAAATTTGTCCGTGTTCTGGGTTATCAAATACTATAGCATAGCATGCGAATTTTAAAAATGACTGGCAATATTTTAGTGGTTATGGGATTATAATGCACTATATCCAGTTCTTAATTAATAAATTGTTCATCTCAGAAGTTGACAATACAAGCTCTACCACCATTATAGTACATTTTCTGAGTATTTCCAGAACTAGGGAAAGGGTACACTTAAACCTCCACACTGACTCCTCTACTCTGACAAATGGCACACATTGGATGACCTGGGTCAGAGGTGAAAGGGGGTGGTCACGTAATTTAAGTGAGAAAAAAAAAAGGTTAACTGACCCATCTTGGCCTGACTCCTGGGAGGGGTTGTGAAATATGAAGCTATGGTCTTTGATCACCAGATCACAGACCACCCACAGATCACTGTGGTTCTGATGTCTAAACTTTAACATATAAAAGGTAATATTTGGTGAATGATTATAGAAAGAGCCACATAATCTTACATTGTTTTCTGCCTATTTCTACAAAGATTTTCATGTAAATAAGAGATAACTAAAGTGATACTAGAAAGTATTCAAATACCTTATTTTGGAGATATTCTAAACTAATATTTGGAAATAAGTTTACTTAGAAATAAACATATGAGACTTGTATTTAGACAAACAGTAATTTTAAGTGTATAAGTATGAATAAGTGTTTAGTTATCTTTAAATCGTAGCTTAGCCATTTCAGAGTACTTTTACTTTAAAAATGCTAATATTGAGCCTCTAAAAATCAAATTGCAAAAAGCAAAGGAATTCACACTTACTGGTAAAATGCAAGCTCACTATTGTCTGTATTACAAAATTAATGATATTAAACGTAAGTAAATTGTAAATAAGATAATAATTTAATAAATTTTCATCTTTGGAAGTTACTAAAGTATATATTATGTAGAAAGTGAAATTCATTTGCATTATTTCAGTTGGCTAACCCTCAGTTGTAGTTTACTAAGACTTTTAAGAAAGGTACTT